CCAGGTTCGTACATGAGAGTAGTTACACGGTGGTACTTACCTTACAACATGGTATCTATCCTGGTCTCCATTGGCAAGCATGCCCGTCAATAGCTATATCAGGCTATCCGTCAAAGCATCAGGTGAAAAAGGCACTCACTTGTACATAAAGAACGGACCTGCTACGGCAGTATTCATGGAGACTCATAACACAGGATACCGAACGAGCGGAAGACTGCAGATCGATAGATGTTTGTAACGGTCGTTCAAGAATACTGGCCGCAATCCTCGTTCTGTGGCGTCCAATATCCCTCGCATGTGTACAAATGAGCTTCCGCGTGAGATTGAGTGGCATCCGTACGTTCAACCCCACCGTTCACGCACTGCGCCATATACGGCAGCTTCCTAGCCGTCCATTGCGCCCGTGGAGATTTCGAGAAAAATTACCTATCTCGTAGTATCGGGAAGGGCGGCTAAATGCTCCGAGCCCACAGACGGACTAGATGCACTGAAATGTCAAACAGGCTCGAGATGCAACGAAGACTACCATTTCCAGTAGCATGCAAGTTGTCGGCAAGTAGAGACTTGCATGAAGAAGTTGATGTGCGTTAGGAGGGTGCCTGAATGTGAGGACTGCGATGCCGCGACCCCGTACAGGCTGTACTTGCCCGCAAGCACTCGTCCTGCACGAGCCCGTAAGTATCGAATGGATATAGATCACCTATACCACACACCCCCGCTGATCAGATTACTACCGCCAGCTCCAGGCATCCTAGGACAAAGATTTGTATCACCAATTTAATGTATCCAACGAGCGCATCATCCACCTCACGTCAAAAAGGGAACACGTACTTCTCAGATTGCAGCAGCTTCCTGCGCGCCTTGGATGCGTGGCGTATGCGCGCTAACGTCATGAACGAGGAGCCGAGCGCGTTCGGGTTGAGCGTCCTCACGCCCTGCGTAATCGCCGTCTGCGCGAAGTGCTCGTAGGACGCATCGTCCGGAGAGAACGCATCAGGGGAGCAAATGAGCTCGAGCTGGTTGGCATGGAGTTAAACATATGGCCTATGTCAGGAAACTGGTTCCCCATAACATTGGAGCGCGGGCTGACGAATAATGTAGCCATCAGCGATTCCTTAATCTGTTTCGGGGGAGCGCAAGTAAATAAGCGCCAGATACCTCAGAGACCCGAGTCATCTGAGCGTCAGTGCTCACGATCCACGGCTAGGGGCCGACCAACTTGTTCATAGAGGACACATAACATGGCGATCGCCACATTGACTGGAGCTCCTACCGGGTACATGCCTTGTACGATCAGTACATCAGGAAAAGGTCGACGATCTGATAGCATCGGAAGAAACTAGGCTTCAAGCCCGAGTCTCCCCCGAAACTATTAGCAGTGCTCACCTGCAATACGGTCATCCACTCTGGCTTCGCAGACTACTGTGCTTCCTCTCAGCGTCTTTGAAGGGCCTCCTGTCAACGGTTTCCATCTTCTGCTTGATGGCTGCCGTCGTCGGGGTATCTGCGCCGGTCGACTACGAGTCTGTAGCTTCGCCGGACGTCAGAGTTTCGACCTCCGGCCTGTATCTGCAGACGTAGGCTACATCGTTGGGAAGTGGCCAGGGTGGTAATTCTGGTTCCGATGAGGTCGGGAAAATGGGGGCTGCGGGGTAGCGATCTTTCGCGGGGGGGGGCTTTTTTGGTGAATTCTGAGCTTTCGGCCGCAGAACTTGCGTTTCAGTACCTAGTGTCGCTTCGGGGGCAGATAAACACTCACGCAATACATCACATCGTCGCTCACATGCATCGCGGTGCATCTAGCGGCTCCCCAGCAGTCGAGCATGTAGTCCGAGGCCTATAGAGAAGGTTTTTAACCGCAGGCACACCGGAGCATTGAATAAGCTCTATACACCAGGGAGGCTGGTCAAAAATGCTTACGCATGGCCGACCAAAGCAGCTGAAGTGCGCCAAGAGTGCCCAAGCATGCGGCCTCGTGCCCCATCACCTGCAATTAATGTGAGAACCCGACCACAGGAAATGGACGAAGGACGTACAGCGTGGATAAGATCTTGAAATTCGTCACATTCAGAATGCTGGTTGTCTGCATGAAGGCGCGCCCAGCATCGCAAGACGCGCCGCCTGGGATGAACTCCGCAGCACGAGTAATCTAAGCAAAGGGCTTATGGTTGGCAGTGGCGGGATGGCGGCGACAACACCAGGGGCAAATCCGGTTTTTTGCATAAGGGCGGGACGACGCTGTGTCAACTCTCTTGTCAACCTCCTGCAATTTCCTAATTAGGAAGCTACCCGGATTATTAAGCGACTTGACATCAGTTGACGCAGCGTCACCTCCGCGTGCAAAAAAGTTGACACCCGCTTTGCCCCTGGTGCAAATTGTGCAAGACGGAGGAAAGTTCTCACTGAAATTTTGTCCTATTAGCAAGGTCTAGAGTTAGATTAATATTCAGCGAAGCTCCTGCTCATCATGGACGTATTTCGTCAGAAGATGCCTCACGCTTCGGGGTGTGCACCAGCGCGGGGCTCGTGCGGCGGTAGTCCCCGTTGCTGACTAAAAACGATTTGGATGTGTCGATCCGGTGGCGGCGCATCAGATATCATGTGATGTGAGCTTTAAGTAAGCCCAAGTCCCTAGTCGAGTCTGCATAATTTACAGTGCGCTCTTTGCTGTGTATGTCCTTCACTATTGATGCTAGTACACTGCATATCTGCCCCCATGGCTCCCTAGATCGAGACTAGCCTTAGCTCCATCCCAACAAGCTGGTGCAAGTTCACCTAGCTCTCGCAGAAAAAGAAAAAGAGTACAGTAGTCCATTTTGCCCCGCGTATATGCGCCGGCGGACGCGACGCGTGACGCGTGACACTTCGTTCGCACTCGCGCCCACGGCTTTTTTGAACTTCGTGTTCCGTAAATTCAATGGTCCAGGGGTAACTATTGTTTCTGGTTGCAGCTGCAAGGCCTGTGACGGCGGTAAGCACAGCTCAGCCTTGAACGTAAACGTCTTACGGCCGCGGCGGTGCCCAAACAGGCTTCCGGGAGAAAATGCTCAGAGCCATGATTCACCGGGACGCCCGACCCATGGTGCCCCCCTCGGCCATCGCAGGTCAGTGGTGCGAGTAACTTCCCAATGCGTCGCTAAATAGGCCCCGACACCCCGGTTTGCTGAAGTCTATCTGCAGAAGTTGAGACCAAGTTGTGGTCGTGCTTGCCTTGCTCAACACTCCGCTTTGCATTTGTAAAGGCATCACTGACACCGCATGTTCCATGAACGCTAGTCGCCACTGTCAGGAGTACATAAATTCCGCAAGAGCGTATACATGCAGATTCGACTTCCCTAACGCAAACGCGTCAATAACCCCACTTCTCCCGCGTACATCACGACGAGAGGGCGTAGTCCACAAATTGTAACATTTCCTTGTATGTCTCCGGCGCCGAGTAGTGCGCATTGACTCCGTGTCCCGTGTTTGCGGGTATGTACACCGAGAAGTTGCGAGCGTTCGGGTAGAGCGTCTTCACGTACGACGGCACGTTCGGGTACGGGCTGCCAGGCGGGACGGCATAGCAGTCGCGGTCGCAGAACGGGAGATCCTGCGCACCAGTCACCTGCAGGCAGTGTGAGAAGCCTAACACGAGAGAGAGAGAGAGAGAGAGAAAAGGGGACGCACGACGTGGACAGGGCCTTTGAAGTTAGTCGCGTTCTGCATGATCACCGTCTGCGTGAAGAGGACGCCCTGTGTCGCAGGCTGTTCTGTCTGGAAAGAACGTTGCAGAGCGGCGTCGGAGAAGTACGGGAAGTAGAAGAAGTCAAACTGGTTGCTGTAGGGCTACACAAATTGCGTCAGTTAGAAATCAGCATGCGGACATCGCGTTATACACTCACAGACTGGTTGATGACGTAGGCATTCGAGATGCCCTTGTCGGCGAAGCGGTCGGGTGCGACAGCAACCGCAGGCTGGTAGTCGCCACCAGTCAAGAAGGGAAGTTGTCCGGTCCTGTCAGGATTTGAGCCTGTGCAAAGTAGATCGCGCATGGTATGACATACGCATTCACTGAAAAACCCTGAAGCAGGACAGCGTCGAGCAGGTCAGGCGACGCCGCGGATAGTGCTTGAGTCTGGACGGAGCCGTACGAGTGGCCGATACCGACAACTTTGTTGAACTTCATATTGCCGATGTCGCCATTGCGAAGCATCTGTGCAAACTTCGTCGCAATGGCAAGGTCGGTAGGAGCCTGGACAACACTGCAAATGAGGATCAATTGCTTATCGCAAGCTGTCGCACGAGTAGTGTCACGTACTTGTAAGCGTCCTGCGGATGTTCCGACAACCCGGTACCGAGCTGATCGTAGCGAAAGGTGACGTAGCCGGCATCGGAGGCAGCATGTACGTAGCTGTACTCCTCGGTGCTATTATCCGGCATGAAGTCCCAATAACTTTGACACAGTGAGTATGAGGTGCCGAACAGAGACGTGCGGATATATTCACACCTTGAGTCAAAGCCAACGCCATGAAGGAGGAACTGGACGTTGGACACGTTCTTAGCGCCGTTCTTCGGAACACAGAGGGTGCCTGACAGCGAGTAGGTGTTGTGTACCGATTGCTTGTCTGGCTTCTCGTACATCTCGGTGAAATTTGCCATTGATGTCGCAAACGTTTGGAACAGTGCTATCAGGTATGTCTGTTCGAAGCGGTCAGCGTCTGTTCGTGGCGCACGACGGCGAACGCACCTGATTTGCGTTCGAGTCAACGTTCTGGAACTGGATGTTGTTGCTCGTGATGTCGAGCCTGTACATCTGACGTTGGCAGTTTGCGTTCGTGGGTCCGATGCGCGACGTGTCGTAGCCAGCGGTGTTGTTCGTTGGGTTGAAGTCCACTGCCGTCGCTGCCGTGGCCAAGCCGAGGAGGCAGAGCTGGGTTCTAGCGAGACGCA